TCAAGTCCATATTGATATGATTAAACAAATCCCATCTCCTAATAAAGAATAAATATATATGAACAAGTCCATGGAGGAAAAGAAAATAAGTCCCATGTGAAAGGCACCCACCTCGAATCTGGCACTGTTGCATGTTTCTGCTTTCTTATAAGTCCTCCCTTGCTGTTTCATCCCATCTTTATTTGCTTATATATTCTCCACGCAGCCCTTTCACATGTTCATTAATTAAATTGTGGTCCTGATTATATTAGACTGAATTTTTCTCTAATTAAATAAATCACAACTTGAACTTGATGAGGTTCCCACGTGATGGATCCCAATCTATGAGGAATCTTGCCTTACCTACTTAATTAATTTTCCAACCATTGCACTCTTCATATGCCTCCCGGCCTTGCATTATCAAACTTGGAAATTTTTGGTCAACTTCCAATACAATCCAAATACAATTAAGTTTACACACTACAAGGAATTCACTCTCATCTTCATTTATAGCCAATCTTTTATAATATTTATGATCATCTGGGTTTCAAGTGGCTGGAGCATATTAATCTTATATTAGGATGAATAATTATTTTAATTTCCTTACAACAAATATAGGGAGAATACGTTTCTATTTGTTGAAATTGAATAATGGATAACGTTAATTGCATGCATCCCAACAGATTTGTGTGCCAAAAGTGAAACTTGATTTACAACATAGAATTCAGTTCTTAATTAGTCTTCCCAAATGTAAGGATAAAGCAATTCCCATTTGGACAAATAATCGATGCCACAAGAAGCAACTTGGAAATTGGAGCTTTAATTTATGATACAACTAAACTATCACATTAAAAGATTTTAAAACTAAATATATAAATAATTTCACATCATGTCCAATAATAATTAAACTAATACTTGACCCTTTCTTTTGTTCGGTTAAATTATGCCTAGATAGAAATTGTATTCATCAGCGTACGGCAGCACTAATTATATTCAAGTTTTTGAGACAATAAGCACATAGCTCTTGACTATATAATTATAGTTTAAGCCTACTTACAACTTTTAGTACTGTTCTATATTGATAATATACAAGCAGCCTAAAAAAGCATAGCCGCTAAGAAAAAGAAACAAGGGGTAGAATATTAATCTAAATATCTTATCTTAGCTGTTTGTGCTTGAAGCAGTTAAGAACAAATCTCTTCTTCGATGTGTCGTGTATATGTTGGGATTATGTTTTGTTGTATTTAAAATATAACAAGCACAATCACATGTAATTAAAAGCTTATGCGATCGATATATTTCTGTAGAATCTCATAAGGTGTGGCTTTTCAGATGGAGCTAATATTATCTAACATGAAAAAGATTTATAAAATTATGGATGCAGTCATAATATCTCACACTTATTAATAATTTAACAACATATATGCTGAGGTTTTTTCCCTTTTCATTTTTTCTGATTTCCTGTTTCATTTAAGACGAGTAGATAATATATACTAACTAATTGTCTATATTGGCCTTCGTTCATAAATTGGGCTTTCCAGACTCTGCTTCATTCATGAATTGGGTTATGACATGTAGAACAAACATCAAAATAAAGACTTTGGGGACGTCACTTCGTACAAAATGCCAACCATGGCATAATTTCTGACAATTTCATAACACATTTAGCAACAGAATGTGGTTATGACAAAAAATAATAGTAGTACTAAATGGTCATAATGAAGTAATCATCCAAGTTCACAAGTTACCACAAACATAACCATATTTATCACTTTTCATTCAGCCAAATTCATGTAAAATTGGGAACAATTTACAGAGTAATCATCGTTATTGCTTTAACGAAATAATGATTCCTTATGACTTGAACTTGAGCCTTTAGAATCAGACTGTCATCATCTACAAACCTGTCAGAACTTTTGATAGCTCCATAAACTTTCTACAACCCTGGTCATGCTCTCTCCCAAAACTGATGTGAAGTATCTGCAAAATTTGCATTTACTCAATATAGTAGCCAAAGCTATTTTCAGCTAGCCAACAAACCAAAATATGTTCAATTGGGTTTTCTAGTTAAAGGGAGAGTGATGGGGCTGGCTACAGAGAGAGAAAAGGAGAAGATGAAGAGACAAGGGTATTTTTGATATTTCAATATATATTTTCATATTATTTTACACTTAAACTCCAAAAAAAAAAAAGAAAAAAGTATTATAGTCTCTTACCCTATTTTAAACACCAAAACGCTAATTAAACAAGACCTATAACTAAACTGCAAAGGACAAGAACCCCATTCCCTGAGCCCGATCTCAACCCCCTAGGGGATTCCCCAAGCCCGATCACAACCTTCTGGGGGATTACCCGATCCCAAGACGTGGATATCAGGGAATCCTTGTCCCTAGTCTGTAGAGTTGAGGTGAGCCCCATCCCCGTCCCCACTTCGTATGCGGGGATTTCGTAGGGAGAACTCCCATGCGGGGATTTCCCCCACAAAATCCCGGCTCTTTTTTTTTTACTTACCATCTTTAATTAATTTATTTACAAATTATCTTAACTTTTTAATTTGTTTATTAGTTTATATTTTTATTAAGGTGATTTTTTAACTTAGAAATGGTTTATTTGAAATTAACTATCACAATCAAATAAAACCCTCCTTATCACTCGGAGTAAGACTTATTAGATATAATCAATAATTAATTATAAATTATTATTTAAATGAAATGTCACAAATTAATTATAATATGTAGTAAGACTTGTTAGATATAATCCATGATTAATGAATGGTAGTTATGTGTATTAAATTAGATGTTAGAGAAGATTATTGTCTAGTTTAAGGATTTTAGAATTAGTAAATATAGTTATTGTTTCTTGTTATATGATACAATTTATCACGTCTCTCTGTCTTTATAATACAATGTATGAATTCTTTGAATATCACATAAAATTCCTCTTCCTTATTCTAATTAATTGGTAATTTTAATTTACAACGATTTTAAATATTGATTTAGGTAATTAATTTGTTCTTGTATAAAGTTGATCTTCTTTCTTCTAACTAATTTGTTTAGTTTGCTTCATTGATTGATTTTAAACTAGTCAAACGAATATAAGATTAACAAGATTTATACCTGACTAAAAATTTTTCGAGCTATTATATTAAACCTATTACAGTGGCATCTAATTAAAATGAGAACATAAAATTATAAATTGCTTCTTATTTTCTAATTTTGTGGATGATTATTGAATATTAATAAGATTGCATACAAAAGATCTAATATTTAATTTTTTTAATGAAATGATATTGTGTTATTTTTATGTATATATATATTTGTGTGTGTGTGTGTGTGTGTGTGTGTGTGTGTGTGTTTGGGGCAGGCCCGACCTACCCCCATCCCTAGGGCTGGAGAATTTCCATGGTCCAAGCCTAGGCCCATTCCCCAATTGGTTCGTGGAATCCCTGTCCTGTTCGGGCCAAGGAGGTCACTCCGACGGGCAAGGCAAATGCCCATCCCTAACTGCATATGTGTCAAATAATAAAGTTTATTACATATTGAAAATGACTCACCTCTTCTTCTCCAACAGCCACTACAAGAAAAACTCTAATTCTTGATAGATATTAACTATCAAGAAGAGGGTTCCTTAACAGTTTTTAAACTGTCAAGAAAGGGTCTTGACAGTTTGAAAACCGTCAAGGATATAGCCTAATTTTAACCAAATCCTTGACAGTCTTAAAACTACCAAGAAATTTTTTTGTAGTTTATTTTCCTGGTTATTACCAATTAAATCAAGGAATAGTACAACAAAATTATTCATAATATTCCTCAACTAACAACAATTATCACAATTCAATAATAAATTTAGACATCCAACAATGTCTCAATTAATTTATTGAATGGTATATATATTACTGTTGCTCTTATTAAACAAAAATTGAACAACAATATAAGTTTTAAAATATTACAAAAACAACTATAAAAGATGGAAAGTAGATAAATTCAGTATATATACATGAATAAAAGACCCATGGCATTAGTGCATCAATAATTAAACGTTTGATACATAATCGGGTGACAAACTAGCGAACGAAAACAAAACTAAAATTCAAAGTTAGGTCTTTTGTATGCAGAACTGTGACCCCAACTGCCGAGCATGCACTTGCAAGTGATAGAATTGTTGTCACCTGCATTTTAAATATTGATAGCATACTAGTTAAGTTTCACACGAAAACAAAATGGATAATTTCAACCTATAAACACTAAATGAGATCAGATTTGTAGCTTTATAAAAGCAACATGGACTAGTATGTATTTTTCATGTTTGAAACATCATATATGATTGCAAAAATGTGATCAGAAATCGTTCCTTTGTGAAACAACAAAATCAGTATGAATATTTCCTTCTTAATGGGGAAGTATGATGATGGAAACCTTTGCTTGATTTAGACTGTCAAGTTAGACTAAAGATCATATACATATTAGATATCTTAGACCAAGATTGCCAGGGTATTACATTGACCAACCATATATCTCTGAGGAAAGAAAAATGGCCAAAAAACAATTATGAGCAAGTTAAATCTCACCTTAAAGCTCTCTATGTTAGTAAGTAGCGAAATTTCATTTCCTGGAGGAATGGAAATACATGCACAACCATGCGGGGATAAGAATACACGATAACAACAAAATGCTTAAGTACTTTTGTACAAATATAGTATCATTGCTTTTAAAATACTTATCCATTGTGAACTAAGATACTGTATATAATATGTAACTTCATAAATCCTCAGATTACATAGATGTAATCCAAGTCATGCAAATTAGTTTTATGAGTAATCATTGTTTGGTTGAAAACAACTTTAATTCCGCCGTAAGTGCACAGGTCACTATTGCAGTAAAGTGCATAAGGGTCGATCCCACAAAGAGTCGAGCTATCAATTAATCTAATATTGTACAAAAACAACAAAATCAAGTGAGATAATAAAATTACTCAACAACTTGATAAAATCCAAATTGACTAAAATTCAAGTAAGACTAACAAAAATACTAAAAATAACAACTAAGATAAAAATGAGATCTAAACAAATGATCAAACAATGAGAAATGGTCTAATGTATCCAACTTCACCATAATTATTATACTTTATGTTATTAATCTAACTGATGTTTCTCGATCCAAATCTTAGGGTCGATACTTACCAAGGTAAGGTCATGCCGTGGCCAACCGGATCAACCTAGTGTTTTAATCATCTAAACTAGCTAGTGGCGTGTAGCATAGTCTAAATAACAAAAACCCATTATGCACAAAAGTACCAAAAACGAACACAAACCAACTTAAACCTGTCGAGGGCATCTTACATACATAAATCAATCATTTACTAGAGCAACTTGCAAATATGGGTCGCCAAAAATAGGCTGGAAAATGCGGAGTTTTTTTTCTAAATATCATGATTTGCGCCACAACGCAGTTGAATGGCGTTGCAGCATAGCTCGAAGCGATTTTTCCTTCGACAAAAACCCTATCACGTTGTGGCGTGGATGAATTACGCCACGGCTAATTTGGATTTCGTCGACTTTGTGCTGCAGCGCAATTATTCTTTGCTGGGGTGCAATATGAGTTGCGTCGTCTTCACGCCGTGGCTCAGAAAGTGTGCTGCGACTCGGTTGTAGAACTTCACTTTTTCCGCTCGCCTTGATTTATCTGCACTTGACGAGTCTAGGATGTCCGAACACCAAACAAGCATGAATAATTCATCTTTTTGCATCTAAACACCTGAAAACACAACAAAACCCGTGATTCTGGAAGATAACAAAACAAATAAGGAAACTCATCCAAAATAATGCGTTAAATCTTGAATTCCTTACAATTTCACCTCCAAATCACCAAATAAATCTGCATTTTCACCACTCAACAATCATGTGTGACTCACGAATTAAAGGTACTCAACTTATGAGCCAACTCATTGAGTTATAATCATTACCAAGACAACACGATTCCCAATTAAAGGTCAATGGTATCCTTGTGATTTTCCTCACAATGTACTATTACAAATTAAGAAATACAAGTCATCCATACATGTGAACACTCAAAATATCACCCACAAGGCCCCATAAATGATGACAAAGAACCCAACTCCGGATATGGTCCTAGTGGCACAAATTTGATACCTTGTCCACTCACTTGCAACTTCCAACTAGAACCGACAATGTGTCTTCAGTTCAGTAAAAGATCTTATGCCCTCAATTCTACTTTTCTTGTTTAATCTTTGTTCTTCCACATGATACTTTAAAAAAATTAATTTCATTATAGAAAATTTCTATCCAACTTACTCTACTACTTTCAAACTTCAGTAAAAAGAAACATGTCATAAAATACTGAAAACAAACCAAAATCTTTCTCAGTATTTGTCAGAATGCACCCATTTTAGGTTTCATAAATTTGCATAATGCTGGAATCTCCTATAAGTCAAGAACTATCTCAGGATTTTAAACAAACAAGTCATAAACTAAATGAACTTTTCCTAAAAATCCCATTTCACAACAGACTAAATCATTGCAAAACATAATAATATAGGCAAACGGGTATCAAGAGAGTACCAGAAACAAAGTAATTATACTCAGGAGAAGCAAAGAGATAATAATCAGCCTTAAGAATCTTTTGATGAAACGCTTCCACAACATGAGGGTAAGTTCCATTAACTTCGAGATTAGTGTTGAGCATTGGCAATGGTGCAATGTCAATGTGCTCTATCTCTATGCCTTTCACGGAGTCCTTCACCAACTACATAACTTTAGTTTAAGAAACCCATGATTTGTTAGAAGAAACTCAACACAACACAACACAACTCATAAAGCTTATAAAGGATATGGAAAAGAGAGAGAGAGAGAGAGAGAGGATACCAGAGTGAATGAGGTCGCAGTTGAAGGAGGCTTTACGAAGAGACCCACAAAGAGCCGCCAGTTGTTGTGCTGTTACCACTGCCTCCATTTCTTTCTCTCCTTCTCTACTTGTCGAAGAGTAGTTGCAACTTGTCTGCTCAAGATTTATGGCTGTTCAAAATTGGTTAATGTTTCATGTTAGAAGTCTCTTGATGCCCCAAACTCGCATGTATCTCCTGAAGTTACGAACCCCTACCCTAATCCACCCTGGTCATGAAGGCAAATTAATATAAACCAGGTACCCAAAATTTCCCTACAATTATCTTTCACTCTTAATTAGTGCAGATAACTTGTAAAGCTTTCCTAATATAACTTTCTCTAGGTTTAATCCAAAGTCATTTACACATTCACACCCAAACACACATCAGCAACTAATTCACTGTTAATACTGAAACAAGATAAAGAAGCAAAGAAATGAAGCTAAACCCAAATGAAAACAAGGTGCAAGAACCGAACTTTCATTTAAAAAAACAATCAATTCTCACCAGTAAAACAAAATTACAGCAGTACCTAACTTTGAATGAAAAGAGCTTGAAGAATGACGAATTGGTGAGTGACTGAAGTCACGGACTCGAAGACCAGAGCTTGTCTTATAATCGGGTGAGAACGAAGAAGATCGGAGAAGGATTTTAAGGTGAGAACAAAAAATCGAAGAGAAAAGCTTAGCGAGATGTAGAGAATGAAAAGGGGAAAATAATTTAGGGTAGAGAGAATGAAAAATGGATGGAAAACTTTTGCTTTAATGAAAAATGGGTGGGAAACTTTTGCCTTAATGAAATATTAGGTAAGCAAATGTTTAGGGTAGTGATGGGCACGGGCCGGGGCGGCACGGAGACCACTCAAAAACCCGAGGAAATTCTCCGATCCTGGCTCGAAGCTCATTCGGAAAATCTCTGAAAAAAAACCCGTTCCCCAAATGAGGAATTTGGGGATTCCCCGTTTGGGTTTTTCTTTTTTCCTTAATTTATACTTTTATTATTATTTTCTCTCAATTATATATACCAACCAAAAAAGAAATTAAATATATAATATACATATAAAACATAAATACCATATCATCAAAAAAAAAAAATTTTAATCTATAATATACATATTAAATATAAATACATTACATATCACAATGATAATTATAATACATTATACATATATATAAATATATTATATATTAATAATATAATATTATGTATTATTGTATTAAGTAATAAGTATACATATATAATGTCTCTTTAATATATAATATAATGTATTATATATGATACATTATACATATATATTATAATAAATTTTAAATAAATAACTACCATACATATTATAATAAATTTTAAATAAATAGCTATTACAATTCACAATATAACAAAGACAATTAGGTAATATAATTGAAATAATGATTCAATGAGAGACACAAAAAATTATAGTGATTTATTGATTCATTATAATCAATCAAAACAACAAATAATATATTACATATATATTATATATTAACGTAAGATTATAGATAATAGTATAGCATATTATGTATAAATTATAATGTACAACATATATATGTTATATACATTATACTTATATAGTATATATCATACATAATATACAATATATAATGTATAATATATAATGTCAAATGTATACTATATATAATGTATAATGTTAAATGTATAATATATAATATCGAATGTATAATTTTGCTTCATAACATTATCATATTATATATATATATATATGGGCCGCGGATGAGACGGAGCGGGCCGGGGCAAAGCCAATCCCGGCCCCGACCCATCCCCAAATTTCTGGGGGCAATTTTGGGCCCGAGCCCGACCCGAATCCCGAAAAATTCTGGGAAAATCCTCCCTGTTCAAGACGGGTCGGGGCGGATCCCTACGAGGCCGGGCTATGTGCCCATCCCTATTTCAGGATTCTTTTATTTTTTTTTTTCAACTTAATCCTTGACAGTTAATAACTATCAAGAATCGTCCAAAATGTTAAGGAATTTTTCAAATTCTTGACAGTTCAGAAGCTATCAAAAATTTGTCAAAAATTAAAATTCTTAACAGTTTTGAGAACGATCAATAAAATCTATCAAATTATTCTATCAAGGATGGGGTTTTTTTTAGTAGTGAACTTAGCAAACTTTAACCTTCCTTGCCAATAATAATCTTTTCAAGTTTCATGTTTACATATTGGAAGATGAGAGCTAGCTAGAGTTTCTTTAAGTTATCAGATAGAGATTTTGTATCCTTGACTTGTTGAGTGAAGGAAAAATATTTGCTTATATTTGACGGGCATTATTGTATTTCAAATTGTTGGAGGATTATTTCTTAAGATATTTCTAGATATGGGTTAGTTTTTATTTTAGGTTCTAAAAGTGAGATATTTATTATAATTTCCCATTAATCAAGGGTTGAAATGTAATCCAAAAGAAAAAAAAAAAGAAGGCCAATAAAACCCTTTGGCTAAAACGCGGCAAAGACAAGTAGAATTTAATTTTTCTATATTGATATATAGACATTTCAAGAGGGCATCCATTCTTTAATTTAACCAATCCTGGTAATTTCAGTTTAACTAAAAGAATTTAATTACAATTGTTAGGTAAGAGCCCAAATCTTCGATTGTAATAAGTAATAACACTCAATTCGCACAAAAGACATGATTGAGGATCTAAAGGGAGTTGAAAATGAGGTTATCCTTCTCTAGTGTGGTGTTGGATATTCTAAAAAGTCTCTCATTGAATATTCGCTTGACTTTATTTGGAAGTTTATGAGTACACATTGTCACCAAGCACCAATCTTAGTTTTATTGACTAGACAAATCAATATTGTACAACTCCCATCCCACTATAAGTATCTTATTTACGAAATCATGACTGCAACTAATCAAATATAGAAAATTCGCCCCTTTTTTCTTTACAACTTTCTTATAATATCATCAATAGCTCTTTGGGTAAAACATCAACATTGTTTTCAGAGAAATGAATGGCTAGCGTTTGTTACATAAATTCTAATTCTAATTAGATACTCAATTAGTTGATGCAGTCATCATTGATTTGAATTCTGACAGCCCGTCCCCACCTTGGTCAGCTCCTTTGATGAGAAACAGACATTCATCGTGACATCACTTGTCATAACCATGGCCAATTACTAATGGGAAAAGCTTCTTACCTGGGAAAAACAAAATTGTATATTCGCATGAATGAATAGAGAGATATGAAAACCAAAATAACAGGAACCACTGAACCACAAACAGTATAAAGAACGTGGAATTACACGCGATTTTACCCTAATTCATTCAATTAACAAATAACTTATATGAATCAATTCTTATTGAAAAAATCAAATAACTTCATCTTCATTAATATGTTATTCTTACAAGTCAATGTATGATGTATCGATCACTATTACAATCCAATTCTTAGCTTCCCTTATAGCAGCCAACCATGCATAAATCAGCTTCAGCACTTCCCCCAGCTGATCCGCGACATCTTTGGATGCAAATGATGATGGATTCCATTCAAAATTCCGAGGAGGAGAGGTAGATGGTAATGGCTGTGGCTGTGGCTGTGGCTGTGGCTGTTAGAGTAGTGACAACGATAAAGAAGTTGAAGCGAGTTGGTGCATGGAATAAGAATAGTATTATTGATAATGGTGGAGTGGAGTATGTACATTAGCATTAGCTTGTGGTATAGAAAGATTGTGATTTATATTTATTTTCTTTTGTTGGAGTTGATGTGAATATATGTTCTTCTTGCAATGGATTAGTGCAGCAGCAAATCGGAAGACGATGTATTTGGTGTCCCAGTTATATGAGTGTTTACATATCCTCATGAATAGTTAGTATTTTCTTATTTATAATTAGAATAATACTACATATAACATTTCTATACAATATTTCTCATACAACTTTTGATATGGTAAAAGATGATTAGATAAAAGTTTATTTTTAATTTAAAATCAGTCAATCATATTTTTTTTACATCATATTGTATGAAAAATATTATATGTGTAGTATTATACTTATAATTATATAGTTGATCCAGATGCTTGTGATACTCTTGTTCTTGGAGGGGCAGTACAACTTGAATATTTTCCCTTCCCTGTACATCCTCTATGATATATGATTTTGACTCACTCGTTAAAAGGACATCAGAAACCAGTGGCAGCAATTTCATTATTTGGCTGCAATAACTTCGCACATTCATCTTCATCTGGGTTTTACAAGCATCATACATTAATGCAGGTGAATCCAGTGTTATCGACACACCCCTTTTAATTTATTAATTCTTTGATTCTATACACGTGTCTATCACATCAAACACCAAAGGATATTTACATGCGTATAAGTATATTTGATAATATATTCCATTCGATTCGATTGAGTATAAGTATATATATATATATATATATATAATTCCTCGTTCCTAGCAAAGATGTCTTTTACTTATTCTTATCAATTGCATGAATCATTCCCCACACACTCAAAATTCGTTTGCTACCAGCAACTCTTTTGATTCGCAATACATGCGCACTCAAGCTCCATAAATACTCTTCTCATTTCATACTTCTGTATAGATTATTATTATTATTATATGTATTTCTGTCTATTTCAACCTTATCAAAATAATAATGGAAATTCTTTCGTATGCTCAATCCAAAAATGGACAATAATCTCTAGAGCTGAGGCAGATGTGGTTGCTTTTTAAATGGGGAACAAGTGGAAAGCCAAGTGGTCATAATATATATAAAGAAGAAAAAGATTCAATAATGATAGATCCACCATCACATTTGTTTGTTTTTTTAAACAATTTCGTGTACAAATGTCTCTAGCTTTGTATCTTCATTGGATTATTCAATTATCCTGAGATCCAATGACATTTTAAAGATAATACAATTCATAATCGAAAGTGAAAATGAAGTTACTTGTTGGCTTATAATTGCTCACGTTCAATGTTTATTGTTTGCAAAGTGTCAAATATACTAAGACTATAATTATGATTAGTGGGGTGTTTGCTTTTCTTTTTACACAGTAATATATCACTACGATTTTAATATAGTAAGTAAAACAGAATATAATCCATGTTTTATTTCTCCCCATAAATCCGGCTTTTGAAAAGAGGATTCTTTACAAAGCATTTGGGTCCTAAATATCATCCCATTTTTACCCTCTATTTGACATGGGCATATGTTCCAGCAGGATTTTCTTCGTTAAACTATTTCAAAATCTAATTCCTATAAGATTTAATCAAACCTCCTGTGAAATTATATGAAAACTGACAAAACTGAAAAGATAAAGAATATCAAATAAATTATCAGTAGCGCTTTAGGAAATGAAAAGGAAAAGTTAGATCTTTCTAGTCTTTATAGATTCCTTATAAAACAGGGTAACCCACACTACTATTGCTCCCAACTTTCAATTTTTATTATTTAAGTATCTCATCATAAAAAGTCGGTTTCTCAAATATTGATTTTCAAGTTGACCAAGTAATGTTTTGTCCCCTAGGTATTCAAAAACAACACTCCCCCCCTCGATCGAAAAATTCATGTCATCCCCTCTTTTAAATTTAATGAAAAAACGTAAAAAAAAAAAAAAAAAAAAATTAGATCAGTAGCCTATGCCACCGGTGACCATAGTTAAGTGATTAACATTATCCAAACTGACCACACGACTAGATGTACAAATTCTTGCATACAAACTAATATGACATAAATTGCATGAATGAATTTGTACAAAAAGTCAACTGAATAAATGTTTAATTAATATAGATGAACAATATGTCGATAAAAGAAAAGTGCTATATTATTCTGTACATATAACACCCATTTAAATTGTATTATATCATATTATTTGGAATACTTACTGTAAGTTTAGTAAAATTAATGTGAACCTATACATAGGCATTATATGTATGTGGTTAAAAACAAATACAGTAAATGAAATTAATTACATTGTGGTAATTAAAT